CCCTTGTCGGGACATTTCGGCCGGCGGCTGAATCGGGGATGCCTGGGACAGAGCAGCTGGGGCGCTGCCGGGTTGGTCTGGTAGCGCCAACCCTTGGCGCTGCGAGACCAACCTGGCAGCACCCCAGCTGCTCTGTCCCAGGTGTACCCAAGTCAGCCACTGCTGAAACTGATCGGGGCTGATTCCAGGAAGCCCGAGGCAGAGCTGCTTTGCCTCGGGCTTCCTGTAGTCAACCGCTGGTCAATTTCAACAGTGGCTGAATCTGGACGCTGGTTCCGACTTGCATACAAATTCAACTTAAGAACAAACCTACAGTCCCTATCTTGTACGTAACCCGGGGACTGCCTGTATTCAGGTTTCAAAGTCAAGTTCTCAGAAGGTGGGAAATGCCAGAAAGAATATAGCATGTGCAACTTTAATTTGGCTCCCTTATGTATATATTTTAGGATACAGTCTTTAACTTACATGAACAAATACTATTTTTGTAGCAGGACCCATGCCTCATTTTGTGCCCAGAATGGATGATGCTTACTTAATGAGAAGCTATTCAATGTTGTGTTTTCTCCTTGTCCAGTGTGTGGTCCCATGCTTTATGTACTTCACACTATTGAAACCCTGGTATGAAGACAAAATTGCTGATATTTTCATGAGCTGTGTGTGTGGTGCCCTTCACTGTAGTATTTGAGTTCTTACAAATATTAAGTAATTTATTTTCAAAACACTCCTTTTTATACCCATTTTACAAATTGGGAACTGAGACAGAAAGATTAAGGAGCCTCTAATTTTGCATGTTCAATGTGAAACATCAAGGACTTGATTTTACTGCATTGAGTATACCCTTTAAGATTCAAAACAGAGCTCCCATTGATTTTAATTGCAGCTGGAAGAGCTCAGCGCTTTTGCATATCAAACCCAAGATCTCAGCTTGGGCATCCAGAAAATGAGGAACACAAAATGAATGGCCATCAATAAAAAGTTTGGCCTAAGTGATGTGACCATGGTACACCCACATCTTGAATACTGCATACAGATA